TTTTACAGCCCATTCATTTAAATGGGTTGAAATCACACCAGAAGGCAGAAAAAGTACTGGGGTACCATGCAATTTGATGTCCGCAAATGTACTGCATTTGCGATGTGCGTTTGGGTGTCGTTAACATTACATTGGCACCTGCAGCAGATCGCAAAGGCAGCACATGGAATGCGCCTTTCCCACACAATGTCCTGGTGTGAACCAGCCCTTACCTACCTGCTCACAGTCTTCTATTGAATATTATTATTATTATACAGTATTTATAAAGCGCCAATAGTTCGCTCAGCGCTGTACATTACAAAGGGGGACAGAACATATGTGACAGAACAATACAGACACTGAGATGCACGTGTGCAGCACAATGTGCATTCCCACCACACTCTGACTGTGCCAGAATGACTGACTCCTGTGTACGTGCATGGAATGACCACCAGCCAATCACGAGGCCAATAATCCAATACCTGGAAGACGATGACAGCAACCGGCAAGGGATGTAACCATGGCATTGCTGATTCCACTATGTGTTGGGTTGCATTGCATTAATGCAAATACAACGGAAATTATAGTAAAGAATATGTAATCCCAACATTTCATATTCCTGATGTGTGCCTGCTATACCCTGTACCTGTATGAAAAAGTATCTTGTTCTCTTTGTATTGCTTTTCTTTGTGTGAAATCCCTGGTGTTCCAGACCGTCCTCCTGCTTACCTATTAAAAAATTACCACACTAAGCATGAGAACACAGTGTGGTCAGTTCTCTAGCTGTGCTGGAAACTCAGCCTGCTCTCCTCCAGTGATCAGACTTGTCCTGACACCCCCCCCCACACAGAAATTCACTGGGAAGTTCAATGTGCTGCTGTTTTTACCTCCCTCACCTTTCTATGCAGCTGAGAACAGAGGGAATGTGATTACTTATAAAAAAGAAAAAAACAGAGGTATTCATATCTATACTAGCATTTTGCCTTTCATTTCTATGTTAACCTTTTCAATACCAGGTACTTTTACCATCTTCCTGCCCGGGCCAATTTTCAGCTTTTACCTCTGTTGCACTTTTGACTGACAATTGCGCAGTCATGCAACACTGTACCCAAATAACATTTTTTTGCATTGTTTTCACACAACTAGAGCTTTAGTTTGATGTTGTTTTATCACCACTAGGATTTTTTTTTTATTTTTTGCTAAATAAATAAAAAAAAAAATACCAAAAATTGTGGGGAAAAAAAGTGTTTCTTCATTTCTGTTATAACATTTTGCAAATAATTAAATTTTTCTATTTTTAAACAAACTGTGACTAGGCAGTACAGCGCTACCATACTGACATTGTATTACTCTGGGGAAGTGATCAGGATTTTTTTTAAATATGATTGCTTATAGCAGAGAATTTAATTGCTATAAGCAAGCCTTTTAACTGAATGAAACCGATTCATTCAGTGTGTATTGCTGTGATAAGCTGTGATTGGCCACAGCTAGTCACTTGGCACAGATGGCTGTGATTGACCCCGTCTGAACCATGTGAACACTGTGACCAATCACAGCTAGCAACACAATTGTACACAATGAATGGCACGATTCAAAGCCATTCATTGTTTACAACTGTTATGTGATCTGCTGTGATTGGTCACAGCGGGTGACAGATCATGCCGCCCAGTCAACTTATTACAATAGGCTGGGTGGGACGTGGCAGACTGACGACACCAGAAATCTTAAGCGACATACTCGTGCGCTGGAGTGACTGTGGTGTAAAACCAAATCTCAGCAAGCTTTCACCTGATATAAATCTGCTTTCTTAACCTACAACCTCCCTCCATGTTGCCAAACAAGCCTACTTTGTCACTCTCATCAATACCTTGTCATCCAGTCCTCGCTGTCTCTTCTCCACTTTTAACTCTCTACTTTCTACTCCTCCACCCAGTACCTCACTCACTGCTTACGAGATTGCAAATCATTTCAAAAACAAGATTGATGCAATTTGTAGGGGCATTTCCACTGCACAGACATCTATCCCACTTAGCATACCTTATACTAAACCTCCCTCAATACTTTCCTCTTTTAACCTTGCTACTACTGAAGAGGTCACTAAGGTTTTCTCAGAAGCCCATGTCACTACCTGTCCCCTGGATCCTGTCCTCTCTCAACTACTACAGTCACCCTCTTCTTCTATCCTATGCTCCCTCACTCACATCTTCAATCTCTCCCTCTCTAACGGTGCCTTCCCTCCCCTCTAAAGCATGCACACATCACTCCCATACTTAAAAAGCCCTCCCTGGACCCCAGCAACCTGAACAACGTAAGACCATTTCCCTGCTCCCATTCACCTCTAAACTCTTACAACGCTTTTTCAACAATCGCCTGAGCTCCTACCTCACTGACAACAACCTTCTTGACCCTTTACAGTCTGGCTTTCACTCACTACACTCCACTGAAATTCACTAATGATTTACTAACTGCTAAAACCAATGGCCACTACTCTGTACTTTTACTACTTGACCTCTCTGCAGCTTTTGATACTGCAGACCATCCCCTTCTCCTCAAAAAACTCCACTCTCTTGGCCTCTGAGACTCTGCTCTCTCCTGGTTCTCCTAGACTCCCATCTGTCCTTTCAGCCCCAAATCCAATTGCTGTCCAAATCTTGTAGACTTCACCTCCGCAACATCTCCAAGATACGCCCGTTCCTAACCTCGGAAACCACTAAGCAACTTATTCACTCCTTGTTATATCTCGCCTTGACTATTGTAACTCCCTCCTCATTGGCCTGCCTAATCGCAGGCTATCCCCTCTTCAGTCTATCATGAATGCTGCTGCCAGACATATCCACCTACTAACAGTTCTGTATCTGCCACCCCTCTCTGCCAATCCCTCCACTGGCTTCCCATTGCCCAACAGATAAAATTCAAAACATTAATAACATATAAAGCCATTTATAACTCTGCCCCCAATTACACCACCAATCTTGTCTCCAAATATCACCCAAACCATCCTCTCCGCTCCTCGAACAGCCTCCTGCTCTCTAGCTCCCTCGTCTGCTCCTCCCATGCTCGTCTCCAGGACTTCTCCAGAGCTTCCCCCATCCTCTGGAACTCTCTACCCCAATTTATCAGACTATCGTCTACTCTGCTCACTTTTAGGCGATCTTTGAAAACCTATCTCTTCAATGAAGCCAATCCTTCCCTCAGCTAATAATGGAATCTTCTATTCCTCCTACCAATCCATCCTTTTGTACCTCTAGCCCCTCCCTCTTAGATTGTAAGCTCCAAGGAGCAGGGCCCTCCTATCCCTCTTGTATTGAACTGTATTGTTGCTGTATTGTCTCCCGTTATATTGTAAAGTGCTGAGCAAACTGGCGCTATATAAATCCTGTATAATAAAATAATAATAACAGTTTGTTTTACATGGTGAAGGCTCACATATACTTTAAGGCAGCTTATTCATTATAAATGGTTGCCAATATACCTCAATGGCTAAAAAAAAAATGACCCTATTTTGAGAATGCAGCACACCACACAACACAATATTTGTGTTGTATGTGTTGTGGTGCTTTTTACAATGAATGGCTCTGGACGCACCTCACAGAAAATAGGTGAACTTGCATTGTGGTAACACACATTAACACAAGTGTTTTAGCAAACATTGCCACAACACACCATTGTAAATGGGTACTTAAAATGGACCTTAGTAACTTTACAGCTGTGATGGAATCGATTCCTGGCATGTCACATCACCTTTTATGATTAAAAAGCCAGCTTTGAGCTCCAGTCAGTGACTTTGCCTAGACTGAGATGATGTCATCGGTCTGCTGTAGGCAGGAAGAAGCATTTTCTCGGTCTCCTCTCCTCCACTCATTTTATACCTTGAAACTCTGTAGTAAGTCACAAAGTGACCAGCTGTAGCAGGGGCTGACCTGTGTCACAGACATTTGTGAACACAGCCACCAGGATTTACATGATTCTGAGCCAGTATGTCAAATCAGGGAGTAAATGATGACCGTGGGTGATGCCTGAGCAAAGATGGTGCTGTGCTTTTGGGGTTAAAAACAACAAAAAAAAAAAAGATGAGGGCACTGTCATGGGGAGTACTGCAATCTATGTTAGAGGAAATAAATACCTGGAAGTATTATACTGACATATTACTTAGTTTGCCGCATAAATCATGGAAAAATAAATCTGATGATAGGCCCACTTTAAGTAAGCTGCAGTTTTGATTCATCTGCTTCCTCAGTGACAATATATTCCTGTGAAGAATGGCAATTTCACTCATAAAGGGTCCCTGGCTCACACACAACCAGCCTAAAACAAAATCATCCCTGGAAATCCTTTTATGGTACTGACGCATCACTGCGCTGGCCTAAAGCAGAATTCCGATACGTAAGCGCTTTGTGGAAATCCAGCAACATCAAAACACGCAGAACGCTTTTCTCCCTGCGCCTCCTATTCTATGTGCGCCCCGCGGCATCTTGTCTGTATTCAGTAGAGCGCAGCTTTCCTCGCCTTGCCGCACGTGTGCCAGAGCGTCAGCCATTATAAAAAAAAAAAAGAGTCTGCAGAGCCTTTCATGTCACGCTGATACGCCCGCTGCCACACTTCAAAGGTCATTTTCTATTTATCAATTATTTTCATAATAATAGCTGCACAGCACCAGACCCCCATCGATCCGCGGTCACAGGGCACGACACTGAGAAAAGACGCACCCAATGTTTTTTAAATTTGTTTTTGTGGTGATTATCTAGATTATCTCTGCTCTCTCCTAAGGGTTCTGTTCAGAGTCACCCACCACTCTGAGCTTTAAGAATGTGGAGTGGAGGAGTGACATGGCACTCAGAATAAAGGGCTAATTCCATCCAGAACCAGAATTCACTGGTCTGCACACCCGCTGTACCCATTAAGAGGGGTTCCCACCATCCCTGTGCTGAGTTCCCAGGACTGCACATCCCCTGTGCCCATTATGAGGGGTTCCCACCATGTCCGCGCTGAGTTCCCAGGTCTGTACAACTGCTGTGCCCATTATGAGGGGTTCCCAGCATCCCTGCGCTGAGTTCCCAGGTCTGTACACCTGCTGTGCCCATTATAAGGGGTTCCCACCATCCCTGAGTTCCCAGGTCTGCACACCTGCTGTGCCCATTATGAGGGGGTCCTACCATCCCTGTGCTGATATCCCAGGTCTGCACACCTGCTGTGCCTATTATGAGGGGTTCCCGAGTCTGTACACCTGATGTACCCTTTACGAGAGGTTTCCACTATCACTGCACCCTACCAACCTGAAAGAGATAAAGAATTATAACCAAAACAGCAGCAGGGTATTGCTTGTAACTAGTTCAGTGCTCACCCTGTACACCCTCTATGGACCAGAACAAATTTAGCATTTTCACTATGGGCCTACATTTTCTGAACTTTGTCATTAAATAAAGAGTAATTTTGTTGCAGATTCCTATTTTTTCTTATTCAGAAGATATAGTTGATTGTCTGTGTCCATGTGCAGCATGAATCTGTATGGGAGTGGATTTATAATTATCAGTTAGCTGCTGCACCTGTAGTGCTTTAATAAGGAAATTGGCAGGGTCTACATCCATTTGGATGTGAATTCTCTTTGGGAGTATCTCACCAAAAATTAAATTTTTGTTGCAGGGGATGCCAAAAATCTGACTTTTATCTTCAGACTTCTGGGAAAGTCAGTGAGTCAATCACACAAGCATGAAATGACATTTTTAGGGGGAATTTTCTACACTATCTACACTGGTACACTGTACAGAATGCCTCTAGGTAGCCATATTGTATTGAATTTAACCAAAAATTACAGCGCTGTAGATTGAAAAAGAAAAGGTCTTTTTTAATAACATTCAATTACAATATGACTTGAGCTGCAATTGTATACGATATATAATTTTTTTTTTATTTGACATTTTTTCCCATGAAATTGGAATTAACCTTTAAGATACCAAAGAAAAACATGTTATTTCTGGTCTTATTTTTTAAAGCAAACTGCAGCCCATAGGCCAGGCCCTTTGTTTGTCTTTTTCTAACTCATGTTTACTCCTACCATTACCAGGGCATTTTCTACTCCCACTGGGCACAGAGCGGCCCCCTAAAGTGTGAAGGGTAGTAAACTGGCTCTTTGTTTTGAAAGTTTGGAGACCCCTGATAGACAAACATACAGGTTAAACTCGAAAAATTAGAATATCGTGCAAAAGTTCATTTATTTCAGTAATGCAACTTAAAAGGTGAAACTAATATATGAGATAGTTCAAGCCGTGATTTGTCATCATTGTGATGATTATGGCTTACAGCTCATGAAAACCCCAAATCCACAATCTCAGAAAATTAGAATATTACATGCAATCAATAAAACAAGGATTGTACAGAGAACAATATCGGACCTCTGAAAAGTATAAGCATGCATATGTACTCAGTACTTGGTTTGGGCCCCTTTTGCAGCAATTACTGCCTCAATGCGGCGTGGCATGGAAGCTATCAGCCTGTGGCACTGCTGAGGTGTTATGGAAGACCAGGATGCTTCAATAGCGGCCTTCAGCTCTTCTGCATTGTTCGGTCTCATGTCTTTCATCTTTCTTTTGGCAATGCCCTATAGATTCTCTATGGGGTTCAGGTCAGGCGAGTTTGCTGGCCAATCAAGCACAGTAATCCCAGGGTCATTGAACCAGGTTTTGGTGCTTTTGGCAGTGTGGGCAGGTGCCACGTCCTGCTGGAAAATGAAGTCAGCATCCCCATAAAGCTCGTCTGCGGAAGGAAACTTCACACTGGACTTCAAGCATCTTGCAGTGTGTGCCTCTCCATTCTTCCTCCATACTCTGGGTCCTTGGTGTCCAAATGAGATGCAAAAGTTGCTCTCAACAGAAAAGAGGACTTTGGACCACTGAGCAACAGACCAGGTCTGTTTTTCTTTAGCCCAGGTAAGACGCTTCTGACGTTGTTTGTTGTTCAGGAGCGGCTTGACAAGAGGAATATGACATTTGAAGCCCATGTCCAGGATCCGTCTGTGAGTGGTGGCTCTTGATGCACTGACTCCCGCCTCAGTCCACTCCTTGTGAAAGTCCCCAACACTTTTGAATGGCCTTTTCCTGACAATCCTCTCCAGGCTGCGGTCATCCCTGCTGCTTGTGCACCTTTTTCTTCCACACTTTTCCCTTCCACATAACTTTCTATTAATGTGCTTTGATACAGCACTTTGGGAACATCCAACTTCTTTTTTGCAATTACCTTTTGAGGCTTTCCCTCCTTATGGAGGGTGTCAGTGATGGTTTTCTGCACAACTGTCAGGTCAGCAGTCTTTCCCATGATTGTGATTCCTACTGAACCAGACTGAGAGACCATTTAAAGGCTCAGGAACCCTTTGCAGGTGTTATGGCTTAATTAGATGATTAGAGTGGGACACTTTGAGCTGAGAATATTGCACCTTTTCACAATATTCTAATTTTCTGAGATTGTGGATTTGGGGTTTTCATGAGCTGTAAGCCATAATCATCACAATTATGACAAATCACGGCTTGAACTATCTTGCTTTGCATGTAATGAGTCTATCTCATATATTAGTTCCACCTTTTAAGTTGCATTACTGAAATAAATGAACTTTTGCACGATATTCGAATTTTTTTTTTCGAGTTTCACCTGTATATAAAAGAAAAAACTTTGCTTGGTGCAAAAAAATATTAAATAATAACCATGAGAAAACAAATGTATGGCAGCACTCAAAAACCTAGATAAAACCATTTAATACATCCAAAAACAAAAATGGTTGTGCTATACCTTTAAATTAATAAGGCATACATATCACCCTTAAGTGCAAAAAATGTGTATATAAGTACAAACACATCCACACATCCAACATAATTGTGATCCAGTAATATGGAAGCTTCTTCAAAATCCCTTATGACTCCACCACTGATATATAAAATGGCAGCCTCTTATCAGATGAAAAGACCTCAAAGCTTCAGAGGTCAGTTCACACACCATGCAAATGCCTTATGATGATTCGGAACCACACGGCACACCAGCAGAGATCAAAGGAATTCTGCTACAAGCTACTGACTTTTGATTTTTTTTGGAGACCAGAACGCCACTTCAGACTGCAGAGTATATCAGCACAAAAAACCCAGCTACTGCTCATTCCAGCCGCACGATGTCAGGACAGGCCCCACCCTCTTGAAAACATCTTTTGGGACGAAACATGTCAGGGTAAGATTCTGTCATTTTACATACTGGTGGTGAAGCCACAAGGGATTTTGAAGCAGCTTCCATGTTACAGGATTACAATTATATTGGATGTGTTGGACATATATACACATTTTTTGCACTTAAGGATGTTATGTATGTTTTATTAATTCAAAGGTATAGCGCAACAATCTATAGACAAAAGCATGTAAAAAAAAAAAAATTAATAAATAAACACAATTTTATTTTACTTTGACTGGTGTCAGTTTGGCAGACATCACACATCGTTGTGATCTGTGCAGGGCAATGGCAGATCAGTGGAGGTCACTGGGACAGAAAATGGCAGCGCAGCACAACGCAATGGCAGTTAATGACAAATCGCTGCTTCGACTGACATTCAAACTGGTGAAACCTCATAAAGGGGCTTTGCATAGTCAGGTGACTTTATAGTAAAGTTCAGTAAAAGTTCCCTTTGGAGAGTTAATAAATTCATCGCCTGAGTCCCATCACTGAGCAAAAGAATAAAATGAACAGGGAAAATCCACAGGTGTGTAGAGCTACAGCAGGACAACAAGTACAGCAAAATGGATTGACATAATAGTGATTCTGCTAGTACCAGAAAACACTTGCTCTCCTGGATTTACTGAGGAGCAGCACTGTCACCTTGGACAGGACTACAGAACACCTCCCTCTCTCCTCTTCCCTCCTTGGGGAGGGGAAGTGAGCTGGGTTATGCAGTCCTCCAAACAATGTAACTGATATAAGTGCAGCACAAGCAAAGGGTTCAGGAAGTCATCAGCTCTCAAGATTCTGGCTGGATCAACAGGTATTTTAATGTACTTATTGGACCCCCCCCCCCCCCATATGTTCCAGGCTCACCTGTCCCTCTCCATGAGGGGTATCAAAATGGAGAGTGGTGGGAGATCAGAAATGATTTGTAGTATGAACCTGGAAGCACTCAACTCTGATCACTTCCAGGTTCAGAGCTGCCAATACTGTAAAGTGAAGCAAAAAGAGAGCGCACCAACCTTGCACATTACCTCAGTAAACTGTGATTTTATTGAATAAAAAAAAGAAGTATAACATGCATTACAGATCCTCAAAGGAACTGGAAGTGTAGAACCAGTGCAAGTCACATCACGAGGGTAGACTCTCAAAGTGAGGCTGACACATTTCAAAGGGGGACCCTTCTGCATCATGAGCTCTGATGACGAAGGGTTCCCCTTCGAAACGCGTCAGCCTCACTTTGAGAGTCTACCTTTGTGGTGTGACTCGCACTGGTTCTACAATTCCAAGTTCCTTTGAGGATCTGTAATGCATGTTATACTTCCTTGTTTGTGAGTATATTTTTTATTCAATAAAATCACAGTTTACTGAGGTAATGTGCAAGGTTGGTGCGCTCTCTTTTTGCTTCACTTTACAGTATCGGTTGGGCTTCCCCAGCATTGTTCTAGAGCTGTACAACCTTCCATGCATTTGTGGAACTGTTTCAAGGTTCCCTTCCACCCTTGTTCTGAGTCCTAGAGTGCAGGAGGCATCGTTTCTGTTTCTATCAGATCTGCCAATACCTGACTTCTCTGGCCAAGAGAAGGTTCTGATTGAGAATAGTCTGTGCTCAGTTGGCTTCAGCAAAGTGCAAAGGTGACACTTGGTGTCTAAAAGGTTCCTAATATCTCTTTAAAGAGAACCTGTCATCTGCACTATGCTTTTGCAAATCCTGTTAAAAAAAAAAAAAATAAATTACACACGCACACACACACACACACATATATATATATATATATATATATAAAAAAAATGTTTTTAATAAACATTTTAAATGTTTTTAATAAAACTTATGTATGAAAAAGATACCTTATTAGGTATGCCACACAGGCCCAAGTGAGTGAAATACTTAAACTTATATCTAAAGTATATGTGAACCCTTTTTTCTTTTATTCAATATGTATTCACGACCTATGTTCTCATCTGCATAAAGGGCTTAGAATGCTGGGGGTGGAGACTGCAGTGGGGCATGTCAGCACAAGGAAGAGTAACAGCAGTACACCAATTTTCCCAGTGATTACCTGTGCAGGGGGCGTATCAGCACAAGTCTGACCAATTAAGTACAGGCAGGCTGTTCTCCCAAAAAGAATGCAAAGAAGAAAACTGACCACGCTGTGTTCTC